GACCCAGGAAGATGGATGTGGCCACAGGGCATCTGGAGAGGAAGGCTGGGCAGACATATCCGTGCCCGGGCCCAGAGCGACTTACCCTCGTGGCCAAGCTGGAGCCATGAGTTCCATTGTCCTGCCAGCCTGCACAGGTCGTGGCCAGTGTGGCCACAGCTTCCGGGCTCTGTGGGCCCCGGTGGCTGCTGGACAAGGGCCCCCCGCTCAGGGCAGAGTGTGTGGGGCCCTGATGACCCCATTGGACCCTTGGGTGCTCCTAGCACACCTGTGCGTGCACGTGTCTCAGGCAGGAGGAGTGAGGGAGGAAGCCATGGTTCTCAAAGTGTATCCTGGGGACCCCATGGGGACCCCATGAGGTCAAAACTGTTCTCAGAACAACCGTGCTGAGCTGTAATTTGTGCTTTCCTCGTCTGTGTAGGTGGCTTTTCCAGAGTATAGGGGTGTGGGGTGTGTGTGTGGGGGGCGGGTGGGGGTGAGGGGGTGTAGGGGTGTGTTGTATGTGGAGTGTGTGGCTGGGGAGTAGGGATGTGTGTGGAGTTGTGTGTGTGGTGTAGAGGTGTGTGTGTGTGTGTGTATGTGTGTTGGGTGTAGGGTTGTGGTGGGGGTTAGGGGTGGGGTGTAGGGGTATGTATGGTTGTGTGTTTGTGGGGGTGTGTGGGGGATGTAGGGTGTGATTGTGTGGGGGGAGTGTAGGGGTGTGGGAGGTTGTATGGGGGGTGTGGCAGGTGCCGATGGCAGGATTTTGTCCTCATGTTGGTGCATCTCTGTTTTACCATCAGGTGTGGGGAGCGGTGACAGCTGCAGCCCACATGAGTGAAACCACTTGGGGGTCCCCAGGTTCCATTCGCGCGCAGGGGTCGTAGGGATGAAACACCGGCTGCGCTGGGCCCAGCCAGCCTCCTTAGGAACAGGAGCCGTGTGTCCCGGCTCCCCTGGCTCCCAAGCCCACCGGTCCCCCGTGCAGCCCGGCCCTGCTTCTGGCCCCCGTAGGGCTGGCCCCCTGCGCCACATGACCTGGTTCTCTCTGGACGGCTGGGGGGAGCCAGAGGTTCATGGTTTGGGTCTGAGTCCCATTTGGGACAGACCGGCAGGGCCCTTGAATTTCTGGTGTTAAGAGGCAGCTGGGTGCGTGCTGGCGGCAAGGCCGAGGAGCCAGTGGGTGATAGGGGAGCGACGGCCCCAGGAAAGACCCTGTGGGGCAGGAGAAGGCCCAGAGCGAGTGGCCGTGTGTCTGAGGTCGGGAGAACCTCCTCTGAACTTGTAGCTGTGTGTCCCTGGGCAAGTGGCTTCGCCTCTCTGAGCCCCAGGCACCGTGGCTTCTGGGATGGGTGAATACTGGTAGCTGTGGGTTCAGATGAAGTGTTGGGTCAAGAGGTGACCTTGAGGTTTACAGGACCAAGGCCTGGGGGGCAGGGAAGTGGGCTTGGGGGTCAGGTGTGCACCAGGGCTGGGGGAAGGTGTGCCCATGGAAGCCGTGACACAGACCCTCCCGCGGGCCCAGAACTGGTTTATAGACAGCTCTCATCTCCGGTGACCCCGAGGTGGCTGGGACACTCAGGATGATTTGGGGGTGGCTGCTGGTGATAAAGCCTCTTACTCTAGCTGGGGGCGTGGGGGCGCTCGTGAGCAAGTCTGGGGGAGCCAGGGGCGCAGAAGCAGGGTCACAGGACCCGAGACCAGAAATAGGCTGCAAGGTGCACATGGTGTCAGGTACTCAAGGGGGTAGGGTGTGCGGGGCAGCAGCTGGGTGGGACCTGCTCCCCACCTCCCTTCCCCCCACCTCCACCTCCTCCCATCCAGCTGCACTGTAGGCAAGGTGGGCAGCTGCTGCTGGGCCCACTGTACCTGGTGGGGCCCTGCACCATGATGGGGTTAAAGGTCAGAGGGCCAAGTTCATTGCAGAGCCCTGGCTGGCTGGCGTTCAGGGCATTCTTGTGTCGAGGGTCCCCAGAATGCCTCTCTGCCTCTGGGGTCCTGGACTTGCAGGAGCTCACAGTCCTCTCTGAAAGCTGGACCCCTGGCTCGCCAGGGAGAAGATGGGTGGTTCACCCCCCCACCCCAGCCCCACTCAGGGTGAGGCCAGAGCTGCAGACACAGCCTTCCACGCCCTGCATGATGTGGCCGGTCTTCCTGTCCCCACTCCTGCCACGCTGTCTCCTCACTGACCCTGAAGCCACCCACGGGGTCTTTGCACCTGCTTCTCTACTTGGGACACTGGCCCCAGACCTTCCAGGCTGCTCGAACATCACCTTCTCTGGGGGGCCCCTTAACTTCTGACCCCCCCAGCTCTGCCTTTCCTTCTGGGCCTTTTATCACCTTCTCACACCATGTGGACAGTATTTACTTAAAAAAAAATTTTTTTTTAATGTTTGTTTAATTTTGAGAGAGAGCGAGAGAGACAGAGCCAGTGTGGGGGTGGGGAGGGGCAGAGAGAGGGAGAGACACAGAATCTGAAGCAGCTCCAGGCCCTGCGCTGTCAGCACAGAGCCCGACGCAATACTCGAACTCACAGACTGTGAGATCATGACCTGAGCCGAAGTCGCCGCTTAACCGACTGAGCCACCCCGGCGCCCCCAACAGAATCTACTTTTACTTTTATTGCTTTAAATTGTCCATGTCACCCATCTCTAGTATTTAAGCTCCCTAAGGTCAGAGACCTGTGCCTGCTTTGTCCAGGAGGGTTGGCCAAGCACCATGGATAAGCAGGTGCTCAGGGACCGTTGAGTAAACTGACAGAAGGAGCTTCCCCATGTGTGTGCCCCTCCTGGGTCCCCTTCGCACGTGTACATCTTCCCTCTCGGGTCCTTCTGGCTCACAGGGTCTGTCCTTGTTACGTCTGCCACACGTCCTCTGGCCTCTTGGAGAACCTGCCCCCTGCCGCCCTTCCCCAGGCTGGGAGTTGGTTCATGTGTTCACATCTGGTGTTTTTTTCCCTACAGCCCAGGACCTGTTTGTTCATCCTGTTAAAAACTCCTAGGATCATAGTGGAATCTAGTGGTGCAGACTGGGGCCTGGGCAGGGGCTCCCGAGAAGTGGGGTCCTGCTGCTCTGAGTGATGGGGTCCGGGCACAGAGCCTGACCTGGGGCTCGATCCCACAACCCTGGGACCGTGACCCGAGCCAAAATCAAGAGTCTGATGCTCAATTGAATGAGCCACCCAGGCGCCCCCAACCCTTGGTGACTTTTGCTTGCTGCTGACTACTTAGAACATCAGGGGCTGTTGGGGTTGTAAACTGTCATGACCTTTCTGGAAAGTAGCTGGGTGGAACAGATCAGGATCCCATAAACATCCGCACATGGTATCTTCTGGGAATCTGTCCTGGGGCAATAGAAACTCAGACTTTGGTACGAAGACGTTCATCATGGTGTTTCTGGGTAGCAATTTAAAATGGGACTTTTAAAAATAGAATGCTTAAGGATTTGGGAAAACGCTCATAATATACTAAATCTAAAGGATGTACGATTGCATATGCACTTCAATCTTAAATCTGTAAAATTATATGTAGAAAGTAAAACCTAAAGTGCTCCCCTGGGCATTTAGTCCCAGCCCACCTCCCCATAGTAACTCTGGGGAATATATCTGTGTATACTATCACATATGAGTACGGAATATCTTCTGGAAAAACTCGATGTAATTTTCCAGAGGAAAACTTATGAATGACAGAGGGAATTTGGGTGTATATGTATGAACACACACATGTATATTTAAATAGATATACACACACACACATATATGCGTACATGTGAGCACCCGGAACTTTGTTTTCCGGATGAACGTCTGTGTCAGCTAGAGGGAGTGTGGCTCAGGTCCTCACTGCCCACAGGAACAAGGCACCATCCGATGTTTGCAGCTAGCCCCCACCCCCGCCCCTCCCCCAGTGGGCCTGCCCATGACCCTGCCCCCGACAGAGCTGCCGTGACTCTGAGGAGTCCAGCACGCGCTGTTCTCCTTCGTTCTGGTTCCCCTTGTTCTCTGTTACTTGTGTGTCTTTTCTCTGCCTTCTGGCTTCCTGCCTCGTGACCCCCTCTGCTCTGCTCATCCGCCGGTGGCCTGCTAGCTTTTTGGGGTGCGTGTGTTGGAGGAGGGGGCGTGGTCTCTGAGGAGCAGGACCTGCTGGTCGTAGGTCTGATTCGGAAGGAAAACCCCGCTTTGTGAACTGACTTTGTCCCGTTCTCCCGGCCCGTCTGCCCCCCCCCTGCCCCCACTGCGTGTCCGTTCCAGCCCTCAAAGCGCTCTTTGTTGCGTGGTCACATCTCCCTATTTATAGTCTTCCGTATTGGGCACGTGTGCCTGAGCCCCACATGTGCCGGGAAGCTGCTGGGTCTGGGGGTGGCCTGTCCCCCCCCGCCCCCCATGCTCTCGCAGCTCTGGCTGGCCTGGTGCCTCAGGGGTCTGGGGCTGGTCCTCAGGCGACGGGCCGCTGGGAGGGCTGGTAGTCGGGACGATGGGGTGCCCTCGGCCTCACAAAGGGGCAGGAACAGCTGGTTTCCTTCTTGGGGGGCCCTCTCCTTTGTAGGGGTCCCTACAGCGGTGGAATAGTTGCCCTTCCTGGGCGCCCCCTCCCATCTGAGGGTGAAACGGGTGAGAGAGTGGGTGCCTGGGCTCCTTGAAAACAAGCTCCCTGCATGCAGGGGTGGAGTGGGGGGCGGGTGGGGGCTGGGGGTGGGTGGGTAGGACCCTTCCCTGGGCCGGGGGCTGGTGCTAGAGCCCGGGCGGTGGCACGGGCGCATCCTCCTCTCCTGCCTGAGCGAATGGGCCGTGTGCTCAGTGTGCGTGTCTTCCTCCCCAGGGTGCTGCCAGGCCTCGAGGTGTCCATGCCACGCCCTGCGGTCACCAAGGAGGCCCGACGCCAGGAAGGGCCCTGGGCTCAGCGTCCGTCTCTGGGGAGCCTTCAGCTGTTCCGATCAGCCTGCAAGAAGGTTCTGGAAGAGATCGTCGCTGTCCCCTGGGGGGTTCATGGGCAACAGCAGGGGCTCGCCGGAGCTGCAGGGCCGCCATGCTGCAGTACAGGCCGGCCCAGGAGTTCAGCTTCGGTCCGCGGGCCCTGAAGGAGGCGCTGGTGTCCAGCGACCCGGCCCTGCAGCGCCTCTACGCGGCTGCCTTCACCCCAGCGGAGAGGCTGTTCCTGGCCGAGGCCTACAACCCCCAGAGGACCCTCTTCTGCACGCTGCTCATCCGCACGGCCTTCGACTGGCTCCTCAGCCGCCCAGAGGCCCCCGAGGACTTCCAGACCTTCCATGCCTCCCTGCTGCCCCGGAGACAGAGCCCTGCCCGGAAGCATATCTACCTGCAGCCCATAGGTATGAGGCTGGGGGGGGTCACGAACCCTGCAGGGCGGGGCCCACAAGTGGGTGGGCCTCTTGGAGCCACCAGCACCCCACTGGGCAGCCAGAGGCTAAGTCCGGTCCAAGGCAGGGTGTCTGTGCCTGGGGCCCAGGCAGGCCCCAAAGGAGGGGGGCCCACGTTGGCGGTCGGCCGGGCAGGGAGGACCCACTGGGATCAGGCTCTGCCCACCCAGCGGGGCCCTTTGCAGGCACCTTGCCCAGGTGTGCCACCCCAAGCACCGTGCTGGGGGCCCTCTAGGGACTGCTTCCGCCCCAGCCCATCTGCCCTGTGTCACAGGCAAGGAAACAGGGCCGGCGAGGTCACCTGACCCGCTCAGAGCACAGAGCTGGCGATGACAGAGATGGGGTTTGAGCGCAGGCCTGGGTGACCCCGAGGCCATGCTGGGGAGGCTGACTGGGCCTGGCGAGGGTGAGGGCTCTCCTGGGAGGTCAGCGTGCTCAGGGCAGAGACAGTGGTGCCCGGCTGAGCAGAGGCAAGCCGAGCCTGAGAGGAGCAGAGAAGGGCAGAGGCCTGCAGACGCCCCCATCTGCCACCACCGTGCAGCCTGTCCGCCACCCTGGCTGGGGCTACTGCTTGCAGCCCACTCCCAAAATGCCGCTGTGTTCCTGGCCTGGCCACCAGCCACCAGTGCTTCCCAAACCCTCCTGAGCAGACGCGCAGGCACCTTGTTGAAGTGCAGGTTTTGGGTCCGAGGTGGGGTCTGGGGCTCTGTTTCCAGCCAGCGGCCAGCCCGGGGACCCTGCAGCCAGTCCCAGGGCCTCCTGCTTTCCGCCCTTGCTCTGTGCCCCGCTGTCCTGAAACACAGCCTGGTCGGGGCTCCCCCAGGGACGCCTGGCCGGGCTGCTGGGCCTCACCTGCACCTTACCCGCATCCCACTCTCCTGCCAACCAGCCAGCCTCAGCCTGGGGAACTTTGGGCACCAGATAGGCCCCCCTGCACCTCTTTGAGGGGCTCCCCACTTTCTAGACCTCTTTACTGGGGCATTGACCTTTTTTCCATATTTCTCCTTTCCGTGGAGGCAGGTCCCCGTCGGCCTCATTTGCAAGTGGCCGGTGCTGGGTGGGTGGCCGGGTGCTGGGCGCGGGCGGGGCGGGCTGATGTGCTGTTCGTCCCCAGATCTGAGCGAGGGCCCGGCGGGTGGCGCCCTGCTGGAGTACCTGCGGAACTGCACGGAGGCCTTTTTCCTGGGCTTGCAGGTCCGGTGCCTGCCCTCAGTGGCGGCTGCGTCCATCCACTGCTCCTCACGCCCCAGCCAGGACTCCGACAGGCTCCAGCTCCACACTGGTAGGTGATGAGCGTGGCGGGGCAGGCTCAGGCCACTGCTACTTTTCAGCGGGCCCCTTCCACGAGGCAGAAGGCAGTGGGGGAGATGCCCAGGGGAAGGAAGGAATCCTTGCCCCCTTTCTTTGTGGGAAACCGCTATTTCCCAGCCTTTTAAAGAGGAGGCTGAAACAAGCCTCCTTCCCCGTCTGGAGGCCAGGTGACTGGCCCTGTGTGCACTGGAAAACCCCAGGTTGTGATGAGCAGGTAAAGTGAGCCCTTCTCGGGCCGCCTGTCACCCTTTGGTCCTGCACGTGTCCAGCCCCCGCCAGTTCCCAGGGTCACTGGCAGCTGGAGAGTGGCTGGACGGCGGGGCACAGATGAGCTGCGGGCTCTCAGATGTGTGGGGCACCTGGACTCCAGACTAGGGAGGGGGCTGGGTGCTCCGGGGCCAGAGGGCACCAGTGTCTCAGCAGTGGTGGGTGACTCCTCAGCACCCTCCTCTGGCCCCCCCTCTCTGCCCACACCGGGCTCCCATGGATGTGCGCTAATCCCCTGCTCCATCGTGGGCATCTTTTCTCTCCTTGTTCTCTCTTCCTTCTCTCGCAGCTCACTGGTTCTCTAACTGACACGGCTGTGAAGCCTGTACATCGAGTCCCTAATTTCAGTTATCCCCTTTCCATTTCTGTAGTTTATAGCGGGTTCTTTCTCAAATCAGCAGTGTCACTTTTGGTTTTTGAATGTTTTTCATTTATTTATTTATTTATTTATTTATTTATTTATTTATTTGAGAGGGAGAGTGCAAGCAGGGGATGGGCAGAGAAAGGGAGACAGAGGCTCTGAAGTGGGCTCTACACTGACAGGCTGCCCACGCGGAGCCCCACGTGGGGCTCCAACTCCTAACCATGAGATCATGACCTGAGCCAAGGTCATGCGCTCAACAGACTGATCCATCCAGGTGCCCCCTAGCAGTGTCACTTTTTAAAAATACCAATTTCCTGCTAAAATTTAAGTTCAGTGTTGATACCCACAAACACAGTTGCTTTTTGATTCTGTCTGGATGTGCTGGTGGTGACCTGTGGTCTTTCTGGGTTGTCTGGTTGGACTGCGTGTCTTGGTATTTTTCGTTGTCAGCTGGACATCTTACCTGGAAACTTAGTTTACTTTTTAGAAGATCGAGTGGCCTTGGCTGATGTGACTTGCCCTAGAGGGGATTCTGTTTCTCCTCTGCAGGCACCTGTGGGTGCACAGCCTTTCTGGCCCCACTGCTGCCCGGGAGCCCAGTCTGCTTCAGTCCTCTCCCTGGTTCAAATTACTCACCAGGTCTCTGATTTTTTTTCTTTTTTAAATGCCTTTTTAAAATTCATATGTAGCGAAATTCCCCGTTTTGTGTGTAATGGTCCCGTGACCCAGTCGCCACGATAATCAGATGCAGAAAAGCTTGTTTCACCTCCCAAGACATGGTGGGTGTTCCCTGTGGCCACGTCTACTCCCACCTTCGGTGCTTTAAGAAGCCGTGTTGTGTATTTCACTGGGCTTATCTGGTTCTCTGCGGCGGGAGGGCTGATCTCAGTCCTGTGTGTGACAGGGAGCTCTTGGCTGGGACACGTGTCATCCTAATAACATGTTCCTTTCTGTGTCCCAGGCTTCAGGTTTGATCACTCTGGGACTCTCTCCTGGCTGTGGACTGTGTTGGCCCTGCCTTTGTCCCCAGCCTTCAGGACACTGTCCTGTTTCAGGCTTGGTCCCTGAGTTCTGGGTCTCCCACCACAGCACCTTCGGACCTCTCTGTGTCTCTTCTGAGGACCCTTATGATTGCACTGAGCCCTGGATAATCCAGTATCCATTTAACACCTCCAATTTAATCCCATCCACAGAGTCCCTTCTGCCATGCGAGCACCACATTCATGGGCCCTGGGACTAGGATGCAGGTGTCTCTGGGGCCATTTCCCCTGAATAGGGGTCCCATTGCTCAAGTGGCCTTTTTGGCATCCCCGCTTGGATGTCTCTGGCCATCTCAAGCGCCATGTCCAAAATGGCTCTCCTGAGATTTGGAAGTGGAGTCCCTGAGCTCCTACTTGGCTGTGTGGCCCTGAGGCCCAGGTCCAGAGCCCCTGCTGTGCATCGTGTGGCTGCTTGCAGTTCTTGGCCTCAGAGCACCGGAGTGGAGTGCCCCCACCTTGAGCTTGACCTTGGGGAGGGCTGGTCAAGGCAGAGGAGGAGGGGATGGCAGGATTTGCCCACTCTTGGGAGACGGGGGCCCTGCCGCTGCCGCCTAATGCCCCCTTGGGCTTCGCTCTCCCTTCAGACGGAATCCTGTCTTTCCTGAAGAGCAGCAAGCCCGGCGACGCACTGTGCGTGCTGGGCCTCACACTGTCTGACCTGTACCCCTGCGAGGCCTGGAGCTTCACCTTTGGCAAGATCCTGCCAGGGCACGGTGAGCCAGAGCCCCTGCAGCCCGTGCTCATGGGGGCTCACCCGGGGTGTGGGCCATTCCTCCTGGGGATGATGCACATATATGGATGGAAACCGCTGCTCTTGAACGTGCAGCCTCAGGCTCTTCCTGCTCCCGGGCAGGGAGCCAATGCGCCGCCTTGGGCGTCTGCCTCAAGGCCACCTCGGGTGGGCAGGCCGCAGGGCTGGCCTTCAGGACACATGCATCCTGAAGATGCAGAGGGGGCTTTGCTCCTGCGGCCCTCCCCCCCCACACCCCCATGTGATGCAGACCGTGACCCCTCGTGTCTCCACCTCTCCCCAGAAGTGGGCGTGTGTAGCTTTGCCCGGTTCTCGGGGGAGCTCCTGCAGTCGGGGCCCGGTGCCGCAGAGCCAGCCCTGGTCCAGGCGGCAGCGGATGGCCCTGAGATGCCCGTGCAGGACAGAGACCAGACGCTGTGCTTCAGCGCCCTGGGGATGGTCCAGTGCTGCAAGGTGGGTGTGGAGGCCAGGGCGTCGGGGTCCCTGCACAGACGCAGGGAGAAGATGGGACAGGGAAGAATGGAAGGCCTGGGGGCCCTGCCCATTCTAGGAACGTGCTAAGAATGTGCATTCAGACACAAGCAGGGGAGCACACAGCCACTGAGTCCTCTGTCCAGCCCTCACCCTGAGGCCCTGGCTTCCCTGTAGAGAGGACAGGAACCAAGGCGCAGCACTGCCCAGATCTTTGCCTGAGGTCATATGGCTGTGAAGTGGGAGGGCTGGGATTCGACCCCGGGTCTGTTCCACCCCCCCCCCCCCAGCCAATCAGGCCCCTGGTGGGACTGCCTGGGGCATTCCGGAGATTGGCTGCGAGGTCAGTGGCAGGCCTTCCCCTTCAGGTCACCTGCCACGAGCTCTGTCACCTGCTGGGGCTGGGGCGCTGTCGCTGGCTACGTTGCATCATGCAGGGGGCGCTCAGCCTGGACGAGGCCCTGCGGCGGCCCCTGGACCTCTGTCCCATCTGCCTGCGGAAGCTGCAGCACGTCCTGGGCTTCAAGCTTGTTGACAGGTACAAGGTGAGTGGCTGGTGGGGGCTGCTGGCCCAGGTGGGGACCACAGCCATTCAGCACCACATCCCAGGGTGCGAGAACCCCAGGGGCGCAGATAGACCCACAGGCCTGCCTGTTGCTCATGCGGCGCAGCACGTGTGGCCCGTGGTGTGCACCCATAACAGCGGTCGCTGCCGTCAGGTCACATTGGGGCACAGGAGGGACAAGGGACAGACAACTCTTCTCAGGCAAGGACGCAAGCTCTGAGCGGGTGGGTGCTGGACGTGTCCACCCCGCCACCCCTGCATCGCCAGGGCTGCCTGAGGTGGTGGCTGGGATCCTTGCAGGAGGAACCCAGAGCCCTCCGGTCCTGCCTGGCGCTGGGCGAGCCAGTGGGCGCTGCTGCTCTCTGCTGGCAGCTGGAGGAGCTGCAGGCAGCGGGTGCGGGGCCCTGTGGAAGGTGCCTGACCCAAGGACTCCAACTCTGAGTTCAGCCTCCAGACACAGGCGCTGTTTCCCAAGACCTCTCAACCAAATAGCTTTGGCTTAATTTTAACGCCAAAAGCTGTATTTGAGGTCCTGGGAAATCACTGCCACTTTCCCCTCGGAGGTGGGCAGCCCGGGCCCACCGAAGGGGTCACGGTCTGGGGACCAGTCAGGGTGCTAAGACTCAGTGGGTGGTGGGTTCTTGGATGGGGACCCCGTTGTGAGGACCGCGGAGCTAGCAGGTGGGCATTTCCATGCCTTCAGGAAGGGGCCTGCCCAGCTGCAGTGGGGGTCCCACAGGCAGCCCCCTGAGGGTCCACGGGGTGGTAGCTGGCATGTGGTGGATGCCACGCTGGGATGGGCTGCTGTGTGTGAGGCCAAGGGAGATTCCACTCTGTAAGCAGCACTGGGACCCGTGCACACGTCCTAGGTGTCTTGTCCACTGAACAGACTTGCGTGGCTTGGTCCCTGCCCCACAAGCCTCACCCACGAGACTGGGGAGGGCCGTGGGGACAGCTCCCGGGGTCTCTAGGGCAGGTGACCCGGTGGTGAGAGGGCCCAGTCGGGAGTGCTCCGTGCAGATGACCTGCTTGGGGCGTCTCCCATCCTGGTACAAGGCCCCGGGGCACGTCTGCTGGGCGATACAAGGGCCAGAGCAGAGGCCAAGGTGAAAGGAAGTAGAAACGTGGAGAAAGTAGGAGTGGTATTTATTGTTCTTACTACAGCTCGAGCTTACGGGCACGCGCTGCAGAGTTTAACTAAGAAACGAGGGGCTGGCCTGACCCCCTGCCTGGATGGGGGCCCCGCATGGTGCTCTGACGAGCTGAGTGAGGGGGCACAGGACACCCAGCCCATGTCTCTCCCTCTCAGAGACTCTATGCCTGGACTCAAGCTGGGATGCGGCCCGACCCGGGCATAGGGGCATCTTCTGCCGCAGATGAGACTCCGCCCTGCAGCGCCGACTCGGGCCTGAGCTGCGAGAGTGGCTCAGAGCCTGGCAGCAGCCTGTCGGAGCCCCTGACCCCCGATGTGTGGAGCTGCACCCCATCTGCAGGGCCCGAACTGGAGCCTGAGGAGGGGCTAGGCTCCCCGACTGCCTCTGACAGCCCGCCCGGGCCCCCGGTGGACGCCATCCGGGAGCACAGACGATGGCTGGAGCAGTGCATCCGAGCCCTGGAGCGGGAGGTGACGGAGGAGGAGCTTGCGCAGGTGGACCGGGCCGTGGACGCCCTGGCCGGGTGGGAAATGTTCACGGGGCAGCTCCCGGTCCCCAGGCAGGACCCACCCTGTGGCCGCGACGGCTCTGGACTGCGCCGGGTCCTGGGTGACACATTATCTTCTCTGCGGAGGAAGCTGAGCACACGCAAGCTGTCCAAGGCAGGCTCGTCCCCTGGCCGCAGGAGCGATGAGGGGAAGTAGGAGACCGTCTGACCCCAGGACGCCGCCCCCCACCCAGCCTGCTCTGCAGAAGCAGAGAAACGTCCCCCTGCAGCCCTGCTACTGCCCCCTTGCCCCATTCCCTGCAGGGAGTCCTCGAGCCTGGCTTGGATGGTGGCCGGGGGTTGGGGCTGCAGCCAGTCTGCACCTGGAGAAGCGGTGGGGGGTGGAGGCTCCAGTTTCTATCTATGCTGTATGCCCCCTGTCCTCCCACCCTTCCTAGAGTGGGACTTTCTCACACTCACGGCTTTCTGGTCCTCAGGCCTTCACGTGGCATCCCAGAGACCGCTGCATGCTGTCACCCACAGTGGTGACAGCAAAGGCACTACTCAAAGGCGTTTCTCACTCGTTCCAACAAGTGCCGAGGGTGTGGCCGGGGTGGCCAGCCCGGGGGTCATCTGTCTGCCTCCAATTCTGTCAAACTTTGTTTCCCACATTTGAAGCCCCTCTGTGTGCACGTTTAACTGTTGGGTCTTCGTTACCAAGGGCCCCGGGGCCGTGGGAGAGCACAGAGGGGGGGGGGGGGTGTGCATGTTGCGGGGAGCTGACAGTGTGGGGACTGCACAACACTGGGTAAAAAACAAACCGCCATCCAGGTTGCAGAGGGTAACCTGCCCCCCCGCCCCCAAGCAAACAGATTGGAAGACTCCTTGTTGGACACCAGGCAAGACTGTGGGACCCCAAAAAGGCCCAGCATCGAGGCGGCCCTGGGCTGGGCTCATGGCTTCTGTGAGGCATCGCTATGACCCGGAGGTCAGACGCAAAGGGGAGAGAAGAGCCAGGTGCGCAGGGAGGGAGGCCCAGGCCCAGAGGGAGAGCAACCCTGGGCTCTGTCACTGTGACCACCACCACCTCAGTGCCTTAAAGCCCCAACCGTGTGCTCTGAGCTCAGGAGTCTGCACTGTGGACAGAGCCGGAGAGAAGGCTGGTCCCTGGGCCCGGCTGCGGGGTCGGCCTCGAGGATGGTTCCTCGGTCCCAGGGCAGGGAACCTCAGGGAGACCCCAGAGCATCGCCCTCACTGCAGCCCAGCAAGGCCGTCACTCAGCCCTGGGGGAGGGGCCCAGGTCTGTAAGAGCAGAGGGGTGGGGTGACCGCCCTGGTCTCTGATCCTGCCTCCAGGGGCCTTCACGTACTATTACCTAGCTCCCGGTTCCCTTCCATCTTCCACAAAAGGTTGGTCTCCAGACAGAGGGACTGGTGGGGGAGGGCGGGAACAGGAGACTAAACTTGTAGGCACAGAGAGCAGAGGTTCCTGCCTGCATCAGATACGACGGCGGAGGGCTATCGGGGACGGGCCCCAGGCGGCCACCTGCTGCCGCAGACTGACGGGTCACGAGCCTGGGCACGCACCTCCCCCGAGCTCAGCTGCAGTAACTCCACAGCTCGGTCCAAGAAGCCGGGCCTGGGCTTCTGTTTTTTTAAATAAACACATGAAGTGGCTGTGCGGCCTTGAAGGTCCGTATTAGTCCCAGGTCCCCGTGAGTCCCACACATCCCTGCGGGCCGGGGCTGAGGGCGTGAAGGGAGCTAAAAATACTCTGGGGTCAGGCCTTCAGCTGCACTGGGGCTCCTGTGTGAGGCGCGGCTGGGGAGCCTGCCTGCACCTTCCTCTGCAGCCTCGACACCCAGCGCCACCCTTCCGATGAAGGTGGAGCCCTGCCCCCACCTCAGCGAAGGCAGGACCCTCTCCCCTCAGCCCGGCTTCTCCACCACCCCTCCCCCAGGTGAGCCCCCTGCCACCCCCACGCTGCCAGGGTCCGAAGGAAAGGGGGGCCTGTTCATACAGTCTCCTGGGACGGCGCTTCAGACCTTTCTGGAACAAAATCTCCAAAAGGGCTTAAAAATAACCCCCATAACATGCTGTGGCTTAGCCAAGCAGCTAATGTTGAAGCTGAGAGTCCAAATTTAGATCCCATCAAGTTCACGAGAGAGGCCACACCATTCCAGGGATGCGCGGCCCAAGTGCAGAGCCCCGAGAGGCGGGGCGGGGGGTAAGGAGCGCTGGACCCCCACCCACCTGGGAAAGGACAGGTCAACCTTCCTGCAAATAAACTGTCCCTTCGAAAGAGTCCTTCCAAGCCCAGGGACTTTCTTACCTCCGTCCTCCTGGATTCTCAAACCCTGGCGAGGACTCTGCCCTCCTCTGGGACCTGAGCTCAGGGGTCTGCCTGTGGCTGCAAGGCCCTAGACCTCTGTGTTCCGGCTCTTTCCTGGCAAAGCACACAGGTGGGGTGTCGGGGCTGGGAAATCGCACTGGCCCCTGTTCTGAGCCACCAGGGGAGGCCTGGGCAGTGGTCTGGGGGGGAAGGCCAGCACTCTGGGCTGAGTCACCCAGCTGGGTGGTGGAGGCCGCCGGGTAGCCATGGAGTGGCTATACAGGTACGGAGAACCGGATTCAAGGACCCCAGGGAAAGAGCAAACTTGGGCCCTTAGGGAGCCCGGCCAAGAAGGCTAACCCGCAGGGTCACCTCGAGCACGGCTTTGAGGGCAGCCGGGATCACTGCGCGGGGGCAGCCTTTCTCTCCCAGCACCGCACACAATGCCTGATGCAGGAGGACCCGGAATAACCCAGGTTTGTGTGACCTCGCTTCCTGGGAACAGACGGACATGGAAAGAGACCTCTGTCAGGACTCTGCTTAACAAAGCCATTTCCAGGAAAAGTCTTGGGGTCACCAGTGTTCAGTCCACCCCAGGTCCCCTGCCCGGTTATGACCAGGGTGCCCAGGGGGTAGCCACGACCTGGCCTCTGCTCTCCTGCCCCTGACCTGACCCCAGGTGCCCACCAAGTCACCTGGAAACGCCATCAGCCGGGCTCCACGTGAGGCAACTCAAGAGGCTGCTGCCCAAACATCTCCATCAAGGCACTTCTGTGGCCGTGTGTCACTTGTCCCTGGGGGCGCCTGCCTCTCGGCCGCTGTCACCTTCCACGGCCAGCTCCCTAGCTAGGCCATGGCCTGAGTGTCATGTCACCTCCCAGCCGCGGCCAATGTGGCCTCCTGCTGGGTCCCCCTGACCTGCTAAGTACCTTGTGCCATTCTTCACGGAATTGCTTCCTCGTGCGTGGGAGTCCGTGGAACAGGTCTCTCAGTGCCCGGAGGTCGGTGGCACCGGTCAGGAGGTGGCTGCAGCACATGTGGGCACACGCTTACCAGCCCCAGAACAGCTGGCCACAAAGCAGATGGCTCCCAGGGCGTCACTTTGTTGTCTCTCATACACACTTCGGGCAACGAAAGCTGCCACCCTGTTTCTCACCACAGCTGTTAGAGTAGGAGCAGTGTGTCAGCTGGGCTGACCCTGACCGTTCCCCATGGACGTGGCCGTCCACCAGGGGCCTGAGGCAGGCGTGCTGCCTTCCTTCCCCGGCCCGCCTGTGGGCTGCCCGTGACAGGCGAGTCCCAGAGGCTGGGTGGGGGGAGGGGGCGCAGAGCTGGGACCCACGGGGTCCTGGGAGGAGAGGGAGATCACCATGCGGGGTCCTGAGCCTGTACAGAGGGGCTGTTATGAGAGGAGCCCCCTAAGGTCAAAGGCAGGACACTCCCTCCTCTGTCCACTGGGCCTAAGGATGCGAGCTGGAAAAATACAGGGAGGGACAGACATCCAAAAGGGCATCGGGCCTCAGGCATGTTCTACCCACATCCCTTGGGAATGAGCAGGGTGCTTCCCGACAGCCCCTGGAGATGCTTCATCCAAGGGGGGACAGCGACATCCTGGCTGGCACTCAGCAGCCCTGGTGGGACGGGAGGCGGAGGCCCCGTGGCGCTCCCTCCCATTCACTCTGCCCTTGGGCCTGCCCTCCCCTGCTCCTGCTTCTCACCGCAGGGCTCCGGACATGGAGCTCCGTTTGTCTATCCATTTGGCACCAGCCTGTCGTGGGTCCCGAGCCCTGCAGCCCTCACTCAATGGCACCAAGTTCGTCCTGATTAAATGTGCCTCAGTCACAACCAGATTAAACTACTTGACTGCAGGGTGCCTGGAGGGCTCAGTTCAGCGTCCAACTTCAGCTCAGGTCATGATCTCATGGTTTGTGGGTTCAAGCCCTGCCTCAGGCTCTGTGCTGACAGCTCGGAGCCTGGGGCCTGCTTCCAACTCTATGTCTGCCCCTCCCCCCCCCGGCTCCTCCCCAGCTCTGCTCTGTTTCTCTGTCTCCCAATAATAAATACATGATAGAAAATTAACAAAAAGAAAACAAAAATACACAAAACCCTACTTGATTGGCATTGTTCGTATTTTTTTAAAAAAGATTTTATATTTAAGCAATCTCCTTGGCCTACGTGGAGCTGGCACCAACAACCCCAGATCAAGGGTCGTGCTCACCAGCTGAGCCAGCCGGGTACCAGTGCTCCTATTTGTGAAAGGCTGGAAGCCCAGGGGAAGTTCGCCCAAATGCAGGCATCTCAGGGCCCAGTTTCTGGAAAACTGTGACACACGGAGCAAATTCCATGTGGTTCGCGTTTTCTAAAACACTTCTGTTACATTTTCTTTCTCAAAGTTAATAAATGCTGTCCACCAATAGGAGGGCATTAACATAAATCTGGCAGAATTCAATTTTCATTTTCACATTAAACATACTCAAATGCTTATTTCCCTTCCTACTGGCTGCCTTAATGATGGGTGCTTAAAAACACCTAGTCTAACATCTTAGAAATAAAACGAATATTTATTTTTATTTCACTTAATGCTTTTGATGAAATATTATTCATTAGAATAGTTAATGGAAATTTCATGGAAGTTATATATTTCAGAAAAGTGCAGTATTTTCAGCAGGTATTTGTCCATGTAAAAGAAAATAAAGAGTAATAGAAAGTAAGGAAAAAAGCAATTTTTACTCAATTTTAAAGTACTGTTGGGGCGCCTGGGTAGCTCAGTCAGTTAAGTGTCTGACTATGGCTCAGGTCATGATCTCACGGTTTGTGAATACGATCCCTACGTCGGGCTCTGTGCTGACAGCTCAGAGCCTGGAGCTGCTTCAAATTCTGTGTTTCCCTCTCTCTCTGTACCTCCCCCGCTTGACTCTGTGTCTCTTTCAAAAATAAATAAGCATTAAAAATAAAGTACTGTTGAAAAAAATAAATAAATGCTGTCCACTGGAATGAGGGAAAAGCCTTGTGGGCAGAGGGTGAAATGCTGGGAGTCCACTTGAATCCCCCCCTTGGAATCCAGGAGGTGGACCCCCTGCTGGGAGGCGGGCCACCCTCCGGGCCATGAGGGTAGCAGGTGCACAGGGCGCTGGGCATGCGGAGGGCTCTGGGCCTCACCCACACGGGGAGGCCTGGGAGGTATGGTCCACTCGGCCACACACATGCCCTCAGGGAACCTCTATGTTCATAATATCCCTGCCAGCGGGGCTTAAAAATCCCACTTAGCAAACAAGCTCCCTTCCTAAATGCTCACTACCTGTTTCCACGCTTTCTGGGATCAGGGGTGATCCCGTATGAAGCCACAGAAGGGAAAGAAAACGCTAGTTTTGTTTTTTGGTGGGGTGTGGGGGCGGCGTCGTTATTTCTATTGGCACTAAGGTCACCTACGGCGTTTCTCCTGCCTGGACAGCAGGACGATGCGGTCACCCAGCTGCACCCTCACCCTCTGCCCAGGCTGCAGGTGTGCACGTGGAGGACGGTGGTGTGCGTGGGGTGAACCCCGGACGTTCGAGGGGAGCCAATGCCCTACAGGACCAAGGGCACGCAGGGACGATGGCGTTACGGAGGCCACGGACGGTCTGGGCCCAGACCCAAGACTGTGAGTCCCCCACTCACCTTGCTCCCCTGCTGGGGCCTGGACACGGGATGGGCGGGCTTTATCCTCCACGAAACCACGAGGGGACCTGGGCTTCTGGAAAGTATGCTTTGGCCCAGGAGGCCTGTGGATGCCCCGCTAAGCACGCACTCCGGGTTCCCTGGTCACGTGTGTCCCTACATCCTAAACGTGTCCCAGGCTTCGGCCGCTGGGCAGCAGGAGCTGGTGCTTGACAGGACACAACATGCTGGGAAAACAAATGTCATTTAAAGCAAATTTTAACACATTTATAAAAACTACATATGCTAAACGTGCTGCACCCGCCACTGTAGCCACACAGTGCGTTTCCATGCTTCACGGTATGGATGTTAACCCGGTGCCCAGCACCTCTGTGGGCAGGCTTGGCATGGCCCTTCCACAGTGGTGCCCAAGACAGAGCGCGTGGCTCTCCTCCTGGGGTTTCCTTCAGTGTGTAACGACCCCACAAGGGCTCGGAGCTCGGCTCCTGCAGTGAACGCTGCAGCCCAAATGCCACAGCAGCAGCAGGGGGCCACGTGGGGGCATTGGTTGGGCACACACAGGGCACAGGGCCAACTGAGGGGCGCTGGGCACGCAACGCTGCACCGCGTCAGAGGACAACCTGCCAACTTTAGTTGGTTTGAATAAAGCTAAGAGAAAGGACATTTGGAGTGTGTTATTTAAATCAATCTAGGGGCACCTGGGTGGCTCAGTCGGTTGAGCATCTGACTTCGGCTCAGGTCATGATCTCACGGTTTGTGGGTTCAAGCCCCATGTCAGGCTCTGTGCTGACAGCTCAGAGCCTGGAGCCTGTTTCAGATTCTGTGTCTCCCTCTCTCTCTGACCCTCCCCTGCTTGTGCTGTCTCTCTCTCAGAAATAAAACATTAAAAACATTTTAAAAAAATATTTTAAAAAATTAAATCAATCTGAACAAAGACTGGTTTTAAATTTCTTTCCAAGCAAGCTTGGTACGAGTCTAAAAAGATCCAAACGGGTGCCCCCCCCCCCACGCCTCTGACCGCCACCCACTGCCTGCAGGTGGGTCTGGGAAAGGTGTGTGGGCTCCCCCACACAGCTGGCACTGACCTGTGTCTGAGGAGGTGTGACGGATGGTCTGTGGGGGCGTCCTCAGGGGCCACTTCCTGGACGCGGGCACAGCTGGGCATACATGCTGTCCCCAAATGCTCCCACACCATTGGTAGCAGGACAGACGGGCTTTGGCCCGGGCTTCAGGGCAGAGACTGCAGGTCACACAGCGGGGTGTCCCCACAACCCTGCTGCCTATCTTCCCTCCCACCGGTCACTGTGACGTCAGTGGGGAGAGGCGAACCCCTGCACTGTACCAGAAAGTGCCAGACTGGGCTCAGAGGCCGTGTTCCCATCTGAGGGGGGTCAAAGTCTGCATTGCCCTGCAGGTGGCTTTGGCGTAGCCTTACCAGATGGAGCGGGGGCCACGTGGGTCCAGGGAAAGCATCCTGGCTGCAGACAGCCGGCTCCGCGTGCCCTTGGAGGAAACACATCAGCTTTTATAAACACAAAATGACGTGAATTCACGGTTAAGGAAAAGGTGACTTGGCTAGAGAAGGGGGCACCCTCCCTGATCACCGTAGCTCAGGGTCTCCCTGCAGTGCGGCTGGCCTCTCCTCACCAGCGGGCTGGCGGGCAGCTTGTCCATGGCCTGCAAGGAAATCTGGTCTCCTGCAGAAACCCCAGGGTAGCTGCTCTAGTGTTTCACTCAAGTTCACTTACAAACACATAAAAGAAGAAAACCCTGAGAAGAAAAAAACACCCCTATCACCGACTTGCCAACAGAGAACCTAACTTTCTGGCTGAACTGCATTCACAGTCAGCCAGGTGCCAAGTCTGTGGTCCTTGACGCTCAGATGCCCACGACGACATTTTAAGAAGTTTTGCTGAATCCTGGGAAGGCGTGAGGAGAAGCCGCGGCCACAGGTCAGGGTCACACCCGAGCACGCCCTGCCTCATCCCAGCTGTCCCCTACTCCAGTTAGCTAGGACAGCCGCTGCCCTCTGTGGTCTCTTTCTGGGCTGGAACCTCAGGTCCTCGGGCCACCGCATTCCCATCCCCCAACACACATGGCCACCACTCTCTGGAACGCCCGCCTGCCGGGATACTCGAGGAGCCGTCTGTTCGTGATCTGGGATGAGGGCCTTGGAAAAGCTCAGGCCTCCCAGGCACATTCTGTGATCCTGGATTAGGGAAAGCCCAGAGCTCGCGAAATGCAGTTCTAACAGCCCCAGGGGCTCCGAGCACAGCTCTGTGGCAAGATCACCACCATCAGGGTTCTCCGGCCGCTGCGGTGAGTGCTCACCTCCAAGGAGCTGCATGGATGTGGAGAAGGGGGAAGGCAGGTGAGAGAAAGGCCCGGAGGAACCGGTTACCGACTCCACCTGCAAAGGACACCGACCCTGTGGAAAATGAAACCCACCTAATGCGCCCTCCTGAACACCCAACACCAGAGAGCCCTCAAGTCCTTCCCCGCAGAAGGAGGCGAGGGACTGCTGCTCTCCTCGGGGGGCCCAATGGCTTGCTCGTCAGGGCCCAGCACCGCCTCCCGACCGGGACCAGAAGCCCCAATGCCAAGTCAGAGAGACCCGGCCCCCGACACACGCAAGCTCCACGGATCGTTCCAGAACAAGGCTGCTGAGCGCACCCGACGTACCTTGTGAAGAGGGGACCACAAGACGAGAGAGGCTGCCCAAAGCTGGGACAGGCCTGCCCAGTCGCAGTGTTCTCTAGAGGCAGGTTGCTGGCGGCAACGAGGGCTAGCTGGCCGGAGACACAGAACTGGCCCAGGAAAGGCCCTCCGGCATTGGCGATCTGTCCGGGGGCTCGCAGCCCTGGCCACCCTGTGAGATGGCCAGGAGCTCAGAAATCTGCACAGACGGCATTCCTGCAGGGCAGGCCCTGGCGGGGAAGGCTCGGCTGGGGCCTCTGCAAAGCTCCTCAGGGATCTGACTGCGGCGCTAGTGCGGAGAACCATTATTTCATCCCACGTTTACAAGCGATGAAATCTGAACGCAAAGAGCGGGGCCAGCGCACATGGCCAACTCACCGCCAGCACTTCTGTGGGGAGCTGCTGCCTTTCCTGTGTAGCCGTGCGCCCTGGTGCCCCACCCAGGCCATGGCCACTGGACAGCACCTGGTCCCTCCTTCCCGAGGATGGTCATGTGACAAAACGCGCCCACAACTAGGCATCACTCATCTCTCTGGTGGGAGGTCTCTTCGTTCTGTGGCCGGGACCAGAATCCTGGGGGTCATGATAGCAGAATCTGGTGCGCTCTGGTCACGGGGCTCAGGCTGTGTCAAGTGTCCACCACCAGCTCCTCCTCGGGCGCTCAGGGCCTCACTCACTGAGACCCCTGCACACACACGCGTTTCTGTGCACAAGCCACTTCGGCTGGCTTTGAACTTGTGTTTTGGATGCTTTACGGTAAGCAGTATCTGGGACAGGGTGTGTGTGTCAGGATTTTAGTGTGTTTTCAGAAATAAAAGCCGAGGATCAAATAATAAGCCTTTGCGTACAATAAGGATTGGTGTTGTTGGGCTCTGAACACAGAGGACGGCCCTAACGACCGCCCGGAGAACACAGGTGGTCGTCCTCCCAGACCCTCCGGACCCGGCCAGTGGGGCCACACGTGAGCCCTGAGCGATCCGCCCAGCTGCCCGCGTCCCACATCTCACATCGGGCAGGTCCCATGAGCCCGTGTTGGCCTGTCCTCAGGACGCCCATGTGGGGCACTTGTAACTGATCCTCCTGATTTAAGATTATTTTTGGATCCTGGACTTATCTTTCTTTTTCCCAAAAGTAACAAAAGTTACAAGAATAGGAGGACTAGAGCCCTCTGTAAGTGACACAGGCTGCAGTGCTCCTCCTTTGAGACCCTTTCCCTACAGACAGAAGAGTGTTTCAGAGAGAAACCTACACCGCATCCTTCCATGGCAACAGCGGAACCACGAAGAAAAGATCTTATTTTGAGGAATTTTATTGTTACATTTTTGCAATAATAGAATGAGGCACGACTATCTCCCACTTCTCCAACAACTCAATAAAAAAGACAATAATCGAGGATAACAGTGTAATTAAAAAAATACAAAAGCCGAAGGTTTTGGAGATAAAACGACTAGTCTATGTGTAGGAAAGCTGTGAATGATTTTAGTTGAGTCTTGCAAATACAATCCCCCACCAAGCCCAGAACTTAGTGCCAGGGCCATCAGCCATCTCCCCACACACCCCGAGGTCAGCAGGAGTGGAAGCCCGGGCCCAGGAAGGTGGGGGGCTGGGGCCTGCGGGTCAGGGACCCGGGCCTGGTGCCCTCCCTGCCTTCCAGGAGCTCGGTGCAGCCCCACCCCTGTACTTGTGCGCTTCTGGTCAGCCAGGTAGAGGGGCGGGGGCACTGTGAATGCGCCCAGCTGGTGCCCGGGCTGGGGGCGGGAGGCTCCCACACTGGTGAGCAGCGGCTGGGGAGGCCCCCTCGGTGACAGGCGAGGAGAGCCCGCCACACCGGGGACCCTGTAGCCACATGAAAGGATCCTGGACCGCACCAGGGAGGTTGCCAGGACTGCTCCTTTCCCTTTGAGCCACAGTTATCGGCACTGACCCTGGGTCACATCCTTCAGTTCATGAGGAGCCCCGGGAAGCAGTGCAAAACAGCAAATTTTTTCCAGCCAAAAAAGCCACAAACCCCAACAACCATGGACACAAAGCCTTGAGCACCGAGAGAGAGAGAGAGAGAGAGAGAGAGAGAAAGTGAGAGAGAGAGAGAAAGAGAGAGAGTCCTGCGGTCTCCTCCCAGAGAACACTGATAACAAGGACGAGTCAGGGGCAGGCCCTGGTCCTCTCCTCCTGGGTCAGCACCTGCCACCAGACTGCTGGAAACGAGCCAAGGAGACGCAAAAGGGACACAGCATCTGTGACAGCCTTGGGACAGCCTTGCCTGTGCTACTCGGCCACAGTGATCACCTGGGGCCCGCAAGGGGAGGCTTCCTGTTTCCTTCTGAACACCAGGCAAAGTCCTAGCCCAGCAGGCGTTTCTATCAGGTGAACACAGAGCAGCACCGGCTTGGGACACAGTGCCTGTGACAGCCGGCAAGAAACACCTGGGCACTGGGAGTGGAAGGGGGCATGGGGGGCGGGGAAGATCCGCCCGTGTCTGAGCGTCAGGGCCCCGGACAGCTCTTCCTGGACGGCCGGGAGCCGGGCCTGGCAGTGTTCACTTGGGCCGGGGGCACATGCGCAGAAGACACCCTGGTGAGCACACGGCTTCGGGCAGGGCCAGGAGCAGGTGCCGGCTGTCCAAAGGCACGAGGTGGCAGCAGTGTGCAGTGACGCGGACTCTGGCTGCAGAGTCGGGGCTCCTGCAAGGGCAGCTGTGGCATTCGCAGAGGCTCTGCTGGGAGTCCTGCTGGTTTTCAGGGGTCCCCAGAGGAGTAGGAAGCGCTTTCCCGCCCTCCAAGGGAAGGGAGAGCGACTGCAGCCGCGCTGTGGTATCGGGAGGTGACGCGTAGGACAGAAGTCACAGGTGGGGGTGGGTAACCAGCACCGGGCGTGTGGGGCAGAGGCGCACCCCTGCCGGTGCACCGGCTGTGGGGCGCTAAGGCAAGTACGCTCCCACCCTGTAAAGCGGGGGCCCTGGCCTGGTCTAGGGTGCCCGGGCTCGGGTCTCCCCAGAAGCCGGCACCAGAGTATTAAAAGGCGGCGTGCTTGCTCTGGGAGGTGGTGGGGGCCCTGCCCTCCCGCAAACCGCCAACAGCGAAGCTCTCAGGTTAGTGTCTCTCACGGAAGGGTCGTGGGTTAGAGGGAAAAGGCCTCTGCAAGGCCAGCAGGCTTGTGCTCTTGTAATCCCAGAGTGCGTGTGCACACCCTCCCCTCCCTGCACACAGTCCTCGCGCTACTGTGTCAGGAGAGGAGTGCGGTTTCTGGAAAGAGAGAGAAGCGGTGTTACTAGTATCATGAATTCATACCAGAGTGACCCCTCGGATTCTCAGTAGTTTGACTACGCCCTGGGTTCAGTAGCTAATGTCTGAGTGTCCGTGTCCCCGGGCCTGGTGCGCGGTGGCGTGGTGGGCACGGTGGTGCAGATCTGGGAGGCCCACCCTGGGCCTGGGCAGGCGTGGCTGGCCAGGGCCACGGAGGCCGTCACGGTCGGCAGGGGTGCCTCTCTCACTGCAACATGATGTCCTTCAGGTTCTCCTGCAAGATGGTGTCCTTCACAGCGTGGAACACGAAGCGGACATTCTCCGTGTCTATGGCGGTGGTGAAATGGTGGAACAGCGGCTTGCTGCGGTTACGTCTCTTCCGGTCGAAACACTGGACCAGGTAGCGCTGAACGTCCTCCAGCCTGTGGGGGTCGCCCTTGAAGTCTGGGAAGTGCTTCTTGATGCTTACGGTCTTGACCTTCTCCACCAGGAGGTCCATCTTGTTGAGGAAGAGGATTATGGAGACGTTAAAGAAGAGCTTGTTGTTGACGATGGTCTCAAAGATGTTCATGGACTCCAGCAGCCGGTTGGTGCGCCTGTCCTCCATGAGCACCTGGTCGTACTCGCTGGATGACACCATGAACAGGATGGACGTGATCCCGTCAAAGCACTGGAACCACTTCTGGCGCTGGGACCGCTGGCCGCCCACGTCCACCATCTTAAAGGGGATTTTTTTAATGACAAAGTCGTGTTCCACGATGCCCTTAGTGGCTTTCCGTGCCAGCAGGATGTCCTGCTTACTGGGAAAGTAATTCTGGAAAACACAGGAGAAGGGAGAGATTCAGCAGGAGACAGAAGGTGAGGAGATCGGGACCAGAGGAGCCCGAGGGACTTCCGGGAGAACTGGACCCAGGCACCAAAAGCAACTTTCACTTGTAAAATTGACATCGGTAGTGGAACAGGAAGTGAAGGCATCAGGAGGCCTGTTCCAAACAAGTGGAGGCGCCCCAGCCCCAAGCGGGTGACCGGAACGCTTTGTCAGCCGCGGCCAAAACCTCACCTGTGTGCGTGTCCATAGGAAGCAGACCGCGGCTTTGGTTTCTGCCCCACAACCACCTTTTCCTGCCAATTTCCAGAGCCTACGTGGTCCCAGACCTTACTGCCAACGACTTTAGTCTCGGCTTTGCAAGGCGGCGATATATATAATACGTTATTCTTGGGAGATTTTAGCTACCACGTGACTCTTGGTAACTGTGACGTGGCCCCGTTAAACCCTCCAGCGACCGTGGCGCGTAAGCACTTGGGCAGTGGGCCCGCCACAGGCTGGACAGGGCTGCCGAGTCCTCTCGGTCTGGAGACCAGCTCACGGTGGTGCCGGGGACAGAGGGGTGTCTTTGGTAGCAAGGCCAGGAAGGGATGGCGAAGCCCATGTGAGGCAGCCCACAAGATGAATGGCCAACGACCTCATAAATAAATGGGGAGACAAGAAAAGGTGGGGGAGGAGCCTACTGATTAAAAGACACTTGGGTGGCATGGTACTTAGGACCGGCCTTAGGAGGCGCGGACTCTGACCGCTAAGACAAGCGGCGCAGGTTATACACGAGGACCCGGGCTGATCTAGGTGCATACAGGCCATCGGCTGAGGTCACAGAACGCTGCCAATTCCGTAGGAGTAGTGACGGTGCTGTGGTTACAACTTCGGGAGCCCTGCTCCAATGACTCGGCGTGACATGTGCGTGCCCCTGCGAGGTGGGCAGGCCGGGCGGCACGTCACACGATTTGTGTTTATGTATGGCTGAGGTTCCCGATGAAAAGTTAAAGGAAATCCTTAGTTTTACTGAAGAATTCCCATGTGCTTTGCGGTAGGCAGAGTGGAGGGATTCTTCAGGAAACGCTACTTCACGCTTTGCAGGCATGAACGAGGCCACTTCCTCCCCTGGAAGGGGAGTCCTCACTGCCACGCGCCTGACTGCCCTCTGCCCTGACACCGAGCACGGATCTAAGAGCCGGACAGGCCCAGGACACAGGCCAGAGGCACGAAGGGACGGCACAACCCTCACCATGGGGCCTCCACACACGTGCTCCCCAATTCTGGGCTGCAGGTTCAGGGTGGGGTGACTCACCAGCTGGCCGATCCGGTCCAAGTTATCCAGAAAGTACTTCACGGACTCACCCTGTCGGGTAGGAAGAACACACACGCATCAGTGCTGGCGGAGAACCCTGGTCTGCAACTACAGACGATCGTGAACGAGTCACCAGAGTGCTACTTCCTGTGCACGCACATGAAGGCGGAGAGACTCCGAGGGGACAGGCGTTTTTAAACATTCAAAACGCAGTTGAAAAAAAACCCCTTAAATGCAGTTTCTCTAGCTACTACCCCAAGATTCAATTTCAGACTGTTTTCCAATCACCCCTGTTGGACTCTCGGCATGGGAGGCGTGCGGGCCCCTCTGACCGGCCAGTCCCCTCCTTTCCAGAGGCGGATGCTGGCTCTGCGCCGACACAGATGGCCATGTGCCCCAGACGCGGTCTTCAGAGAGGGTGAACCTTCCAGAGAACAGGCGCGGCAGAAGACGCTTCCAGTTTCTGGAAACAGGCCTCAAGCTCCACTGCTACTCGCCATGCGCGTACAACCCGATGCGCAGCCTGCGACGAGGAGGACCCACAGCCCAGATTTCTGTGGAGGAGCGAGGACCCCGCATCCCCTGGACATGCTCTGGACTGAAGGCCAGCGCAGATGGACACCGCTCTCCAGCTCACGGCCCTGATCCGGGAGAAGTGTTCAGAGGCTGTGTGAACAGAGGAAGGGGCCGTTTTCCCTCAGGAAGCAGGACAGACGAAAATCATCACGTCCCCCACACACGAGGGACACGGCTTTCCACAGGCCCCTGCTGAAGCCTCCCCGTGGTGGATGGGCCGCCAGGACGGTGCTGGGTCGCATGCGCTCCCTCACATGGGCCCCGGGAGGGTCACCTGGAGGAAGCCCAGGTCAACCTACATCTGCACAGGCGTGTGAAGGTGGATGGCTGTCAGCAGGAGGTGCACATTCCAGGCAGTCATGGGGGAAAGACCACCAGAAAGGTTGGGACTATGGCTTGAGCCTGTGACTTTATGTAAGAAAAAGAAGAAAGAAGAAGATGACAGGAGCAGCGAGCTCCTGATCTGAGCCTCTCCCCACCGTCGCCCCACTGCCTGCCCACCGTCTCCCGAGGGAGAAAACTAAGGAGTGGGTCTCCCTCAGTGGGAATGAGCCTTCCCGCGGTGCAGGGGGCCTCCTAGAGGACGCAGAGGAGAGCGGGCTTTACGGGGACAGGAACAGGTGCTGGACGCAGCACACGCAGCTTAGGATCAGCAGACAGTTTTCCTCCTCATGTTAGGGCGCGGCCAGGGCGCCGTCTGCTTCCTGCTCTAGGGACACAGAGACCCGACACCCCAGCCTCAGGCCTCTGTCCCTGTTCGACACCAGCCTGGGTGTGGGGACAGGTGTTACGGCAGCGTGGGGTGGCCAGTCTGCACATCCCGCCACCTGCCCTGCAGGTCAGGAAGCAGCTGGTCAGCGAAGGGGTCGCCGCCGCAGACAATAGACCCACCTGTACCACGACCCCCTCTTCCTCCCTGCCAAGCCCCCTCCTACACCTGCCGTCCCCCACTCAGCGTCGCTGGAGGTGCCTATGTAGACGTAAGAGTATCCGCACCCGCCTGCCACTGGGTCTCTGCACCGGGAGCGGGGGTCCTTGTGTGGCTGGGCACAGAGTCAGGGCAGTGCAGATGCCCCGGCCAGCGTCCTGTCATCACACACAGCAAGTGTCCCGGGGAGACGTGGGACACGGGTGCTCACCCCAGCGGCGCACGGCGGGGAAGAAGAAGGCGCGAGGACAGGAGGATGGGCTGTGTATTTAAAAAGTGAGTAAGTGGTGTCTCCCAGTTTGGGTGGAAATACCCCAGTGAGCTTGAACTCAGGGCCACCCCACCCATACTCTAAGGTTAATAGACCAGGACCATCACACCCTCTTCCCTCTGCTGCATGCCTCCCTCATTCTACTCCTTCCGAGGGGCATGATCTGTCCGGGACTCTGCCACTCCGTGTGGTTAGGGAACTGCACGCTCTCTGGGGAGGGACGCGTGTGACGAGGGGAATCGGGGTCAGCAGGACCCGCCTCCTCTCAGCGCTGGCTGGCAGGTCCACAGAGCTCTCTGTCACGGCAGAGGCGAGGAGGGGAGATGGGAATCGGTTTGTTCAAACCACCAGGGAGTTGCCCCGCTGGGCTGAGTGGGAACCTCGGTTTGGACCTTGTGGTTTTACCGGCACAGATGGATGGTGTGCGCCATGGGATCTGACACAAAGCCCACAGAACGGTCATTTGCTCGGGCTTCATGGTCTCAGAGCACCAGCTCAGGAAGGTGCCCGGGTTTAAATCCTGGCATATTCCAACACCATGGGGAGGCAGCCAGCTCTTCAGAGAAACGGCACATGGCGGGAACAGAGGTGCTACTGTGGGTGTAACCACCCAGAACCCACGACAGACCAGGCACCACACTGTTCACAGGCTGAAGTCTAGGCTGGTGTCACGGTGTAAGGCAGTGGGGTTTTGTGGGTGCCTTGGTCACAAGGCCAGAGCCTCGATGAATGGGTTGGGAGACCCAGGAACACACGCCCCTGCCTCAGGAAGACACGCAAGAGATGCCGTCCGTGCACAGGAGGCGGCTGTCACCACACCGCATCTGCTGGCACCGTGACCGTGGGCTTCCCAGCCTCTGGGTGATTTCTCAGACACAGGCTACGGGCACCTGTTACTGCAGCCTAAGTGGTCAGACGAGAAACAGAACATGAGAAGTGGGCTTTCTATAACTGTCCGTGGTCTGAAGATCTAAGTCCCCTCATTAGTAATGCTGTGGACTCACAGATTAGATAGAACAAGAGTAAATTCGTTAGTTTGTGCTTAGACGCGACTGGACACACACTCGATATCACTACCTTCCTGACCCAGCTCCTGGAAGCACATGCAATACAATTTGTAAATTTTATTTTAGAGACAGAGAGTATGAGCAGGGGGGAGGGGCAGAGGGAGAGAGAGAATCTTAAGCCATCTCCATGCTCAGCAGGAGCCCAGTGAGGGGCTCTATCCCACAACCCTGGGATCAGGAAGGTGGATGCTCAACCGACTGAGCCCCCAGGCACCCCAAAATGTGCATTTTAATTACGAGCAGCGGCAGCAGCAGCAGCTCTATTTTGCGTTCGTGCCACGGACAGGTGGACATGGCTGGGAGACAGTGGGCGGGGCCTGGGCACATGGCCCTTGCCCAGAGAAGGGTCTTTTTGGCAGATGGACTGCATTGCACACCACGTCTTCCCCGGGGGCACCCACCACCCACACCAGCCACAGACGAGTCTCACGGAGCAGGGTTGCAGCTGCCTCAAAGCTTCTGTCGGCATCGTCAGAGCCAGCCCCACTCTCCTGCACACTGCCCGCCCATGTTGTGGCGTCCCCGTCGGCAGACGTGGGCTGGCCCCATCTGCCTCGATCAGCCAATTCAAGACTGGAGAAGAGGACTCAGCTCTCTCAACACTGTGCAAGTCCAGGCTGTTGAGGTCAGTTTTGCAGGCTGAATGCTAGCACTTGCTTCTCTGCCAGCAATGGGACCAGCACCCTTGGAGGTACTTCCTGCCAGGCTGACAGGTTTGCAGGGGAGGTGAGTACACGGAGGGGAGCCCCTGGGGCTGGGGGTGAGAAAGGACAAAGGAGGTGTGAAGGGGGGAGGAAGAAATCAAGGGCCAGTGGTTACCAGAGAAAAACACAAATCTCCACGTCAGGGGTGGGTGGCTTTTTACTTTAAAATCCCATGCATGCACTCACGAGCCACTTCTATAGTTCTTGATTCAGGGAGGTTGTTTTTTATACTGTAAAATGGGGGCGACTGCGTTGGGATGGAGATGCAGGGCCTGTCAGTGGCGAGCCAGAGGACCCAGAAATTAGTTTACTCGTTTACATATAACAAATTACAAAGACAGAATTGTTTTCAATGCTTTTCAGAGAAAGTGAGTGAGCAGGGGAGGGAATTTGCTATTTGCTCATACTTAAAAAAGGAAATGTAGAAAGATAAACCAGCAACGGATAAAAATGATGAGCTACAGGGAGGGAGGGCCAGGCAGAGGCAGGAGTCTCCATGTCTTCTGACTGTGGAACTGTGCAGAGATCTTGCATGATTCACAACAACATGGAGTTAAAAACCCACCCCTCAGAACAGAAACCGAACTAAAACAAATGAAGATAACAGTATGGGGAGGGAGGAGCTGGACTCTGGCGGCCTTGCCTGCGGCCGCAGCGCATGCAAGTGCACAGGGAGCCGGCCCCAGGCTTGTGAGGGCCCGTACCCAGGCTCTGAGCCCCCGAGCCCAGTTCCTGGGGAGGCTGCTCCTTCCAACTGGGACTAAGCTCTAACATGCCAGGCCCCTCTCACCTGGGAGTTTTCCTTTTCTTCAGCTGAGGTAAAAGTCACCTCACATAAAATTAGCCATTTTCAAGTGTACACAGGGTGCCTCAGTAGCTCAGTGGGTAGAGCAATGACTCTTGATGTCAGGTTGTGAGTTCGAGCCCCACATCGGCTGTACATATTAAATAAACATATTAAATAAATAAATATATTAAATAAATATATTAAATAAAACCTTAAAAAAAAAAGCGTACATACCACGGTGGCATGTAGCACATCCATAGTGTTGGGAAACACCGTTGGCACCATTTTCTGGTTGGAGTGTTTTATTACCAGAGTCTCAGAATTCTTTGTTTTCTAGAGAAGAGGCCTTTGTTAGATGTGTGGTTGCCAAAAATTTTCCCTGTCAGTGGCCTCTTAAGAGGGTCTCTTTGCAGAGCAAAAGTTTTAATTTGATGAAATCAAAATTGATGTTTTTTTTCAGAAATGATTTTTTTCTTTTATGGGTTTTGCTTTTGGGGTCCATCTAAGGATGGATGCTTCATCCAGCCTCAGGGCCTGGAGTTTCTATTACGTTACCTTCGCAAAATTCCCTATTTTACATTTAAATCTACGTGCCGTCTAACTTGTGTGGAAGGTCGTGAGACTCAGGCCACAGCTCTTTTTCTTTCTTTCCTAGTCCATGGATCCCAACTCCTCCAGCAGCACACGTAGAGGGCTGGCCTTCCTTCACCGAACCGGT